GGGGGGAGCCCAGGGCGTCCGTGGGGCGAGGTGAGGCAACCCGACACCATCACAGCTGATCCCGGCGCAGGCAATTCTGGGACACTCCAGTGGACAGAGCCAGAGACCGGGAGAGGAAGTAGACGGAGGCGGCCAGGGAGGGGATCATATGGCACGCGGGCGGAGGCAGGCGACCTGGGGAGCGAACTTCATTAGGAGGCTCGACGCGGTAAACAGGCCGCACACATTTGCTCATCATAGTCGAGCTGCAAAGGTGGCTTCAGAACTCTCAAGACGTTAAAACTGTGGCATCCCATTATTATCTTCAACTTTCTTTCCATTTGCCAGTGCAGTGCAGTAAGTGAACTAACCCAGAGCACACACACAAATTATGATAAAACTTTACGCGTTTTTCTTTGTCGATTACTGTCCCTTTCGGTATGCACATGACCGCGCGTCTACTTGAAGCACCTCGCGCGGTGCATCGTCCGTTTCCGAACGGCCCCCCAAAAACTTTGCAGCCGGCGCAAACTGACATGAGCCTAGCCGAGCGCAACAGGCGGTCGTCGCGGGGCGGGGGAGCTGAATGGTTGTGACGCGAGGGCGGGGGAGAGCGGGAAAGAGTGACATCTCTGTCGCTCAACGACGAGAAAATGACAGAAAACAACTTGCGCGCGGTTCCCTCTGAGTTCCGCCGCGTTTGTCGCAGCCGCGCGGCTTCCGTCCGCCACTGGATCGCCGGCGTGTCTCCGCAATTATCGACTGACAAGGAAGGCAGACCCCCGGCGGCCCGCGGGGTGAGGCCGGCGACTGCATTATTCATTTCGCCACCCTGTTTATAGGCCCGCTGCGCGCCCCCGCCCAGCCCCCCACTGCCTGGGGGAAAAAAAGATTAGATATATAACTAAACTAATATCTAAAAACGATATTATAATTTCCTTAGCTAACAAGTCGACAATTTTTTTTTCAGATGCATAGCGTAGTTTTACCCAACATTGGTAAAGTTCTAGCGACGTAGCTAAATGATGTATCCCGTATTGGCTCGGCTATTGGTTTAGCTATACAGCTAATCTCTTTTTTCCCCGTGCGCCCGCCGGCTTTGCCCATAGGCTGCGTGTCCCCGCTGCAGCCCGACACCGTCCCCTTGATATGTAACGCGACATTTGAAAGACCCTCTCTACCCGTTTCACAGCAACACGTCGTCGGCGGGAGCGCCTGCGAGCGCTGGGGTAGGCAGCCGGCCGCCTGTGAACACACGTTAGGCAGCCCGCATCACGCGCCGCCGCCCGCGCTGCCGCCCGCTCGGGCGTCCGGCTCGCAGCCGCGGCGCTCGGCCCGCGACCGGCGCGAACTGCGGATCGCGGGTCCAGCGTCCAGCTCGGGCACACGGCGAATCCCCTCGCCGCCCCTCCATTCGGTTCCTACCGCCGGCGCCACCGGAGTTCAACCCACGTACCTCGCCGCTCACCCCTGCCGCCGAATGCCGATGGTCCGGGGGGTCCCGGGCGCCGGCGGGGTGTGCGCCGCGTCCTGGCCGCGGGTCGGCGTCCTCCTTCTCCTGGTGGCGGGCCGGCAACGGCCGTCAGCTGGCCGGGGACCCCGCCGAGCTCTGCGCCCCGACCGTCCAGGTCGCCGCCTTAAAACTGAATAATGGCATGGCAGCGGGCCGAGGCACACGGGGTCGCGAGCCGCCGGTACCCCCTCCACCCGGGGTCTCCCGCCCCCGCCCCCGCTCCACCCTTGTCCGCTTACTCTTTTACCTAATGCCTCCACACACCCCTCGCCAGCCCCCACGGCCCCGCTCACCTGTCCCCGACCCCCCCCCCCCCATCCCCACTTCCTGCTCCTACAACTTCCTATGTCTCAACCCCACCGCCTTGCCCCCCTTGTCTGCCCCCCCCACTCGCGATCACCTAAAATCACGTTTGCGATCAAATGTGGAGATGCGATGTTTGTCGAATCGTGTATGGGTGTAAGTCATTTTAAGCCAATTGTAGTGAAGTCACCACCAGAAAAAATGATACCTCTGTGAGATTATCATGGCATATTATAATATAGTTTTGTGCTGACCAACCAAACTGAAATGATGTAAAACGTTAAGCACCTTTGATAAAGTGCGGTCTCCGGCTTTACGTACTACCATGCCATTGCCATTGGGTGAGAAGCCATAGGGGGTGGGGGTAGAGTTAGAAACAGTGGTAGAAAAAAGCTTGACGATAATTTTGACCCCAGACGCACTGCGGGCTGGTTCCATCGGCCACTTCTTATTACATGGTGAACACGTTAATTAGGCAAAAGCAAAAAAATGGTCCGTGGCGTGGCAGTATACCAATCTGTTATAGTTGTCCGACACGCCGTCGGAGGGCTGGCGAAAAGAAGTGACCGGGACGCGGGCGCGAGAGCACCTAATGCGGCCAAAAGTTGGCCTGATTTTCAAAGGAGATGGCATTTTGGCAAACAATGAGGCCGAAAGTTGGGTTGGCAGTCTCTTAAAGAAGACCAAAATTTGGCATTCATAGAGTAATGCCAAAATGTTGGGAGGCAAGGTGACCACGGCGTTTTAGTACAGCTGGCATGCGATTTCTTATATTAAAATCAATTAATGTACGCCGTTCCTCGCATTTGCAGTAGCGGAGGCGAGAGGAAGGGGGGGGGGGGTGCAACACGCCGAGTCAGCGGGACTCAGGCCGCAGGGGCGCGCGGCCGAACCGTCGGGAGGGAGAGAGGGGCGGGCTCGGGGACAGACCGGACGAGCAAAAGGGCTTATGTCACTTGTAGGGTATTTGGTGGGCTGGCCTCTGAGCAGGGTGGCGAGCCGGGGCCAGGGCCGGGCGCGGCTGTGGCGGTGGGCTGGCCTGGCCACGCCCCTTTGCAACTGCATTGCGAGCATTTTACTTCTGAAATGATCGAAAACTTAAAAATTGTGGGCCCTTCCTACCCCGCTTTTACACGGGGACCCGCCTGTTTAACTTCGGAGTTCGGGATCGGATTCGGTGTTTTCAGGCACCCAGCTGATGGTGATGGTCGCGGGTTTTAGCGGGTATTAGACCATCTCACCGAAGCTTAAGAGGCAGGGCAGTGGGAGTTAGAAAGAGAGGAGACGCGAGTACGGTGGTTAGCCTGTAAGCTTCCGGGTCATGAAATCCCTTCAAAAAAACAGTTTCATGAGACTTATCATCCACACGGGTTTCCACCACCACCCCGCTGTGGCTGGAATGGAACTCCCATGGCCCGCTTTCGGCGTGAGTCGAACCTTTGAACCTGTATCTACCACGGCCCGCTTTCGCCATGAGTCGAACCTAGTACCCCAGTGAAAAGTCTCATGACAACCCCGGTTTCGTGGGACAGAGTGAATCACTAGACCGTCTGTTCATCCACGAAAGTGGCTGGTTGAAATGATGGGTTTGAGTTCAACTAAACTTCAGTGGAAGAGTTCAACCAGCCATGGAATAATATAGCTCTATATGTGGATTCGAACCCGTGTCTTGAGGCACACAGGGCTAACTCTCTACCGGCGCGGTTCCAACGCCTCAGTGACAAGTGATAGGCAAGTTGGAGTCAGGCCACGAGTCAGCAAAGTCGCTTGAGCGGGAACGCGACCAGTTCCATCAACACACCGTTTCACCAGATTCATCGAGAACGGGCGCGTAGCGTCTTTGACATCGTCGAGGGGCTCGGAGCTGATATCGGAGGAACAAATACTCACCGACGGACTTATCGAATCGAGCAGAATGTCGAAAGTGATGCCAGAGTACTCCTCGGACTTGAGCGTCTTTTCCGGATACCTTTTCGAAAAGGCTGTTTCCATGGTGGAGTCTGTAGGAGGAAGTGGAAGTGGATACAAGGCGACCGCCACTGCCGCAGCAGCAGGTCACATCCGCCCCCCCCCCCCTCCTCAAACCGATGAGGTGCTGCTGTCCACTGCCGGTGGCACAGTATGGCTTCTTGGGGGTCGCGGAGGTCCGCAGGGAAGGGAAGGGAAGGGTGGGCGAGGGGGAGGGGGGATGCGGCCTAGCCTGCGGTGTGAAAGGGGCGGGGGGGGGGGGTAAATCTAGTTACAAGTCAGGGGAAAGCCACGAGTTTGTCGTAACTGCATGTTTGAACACTATGAACGCCCACCACGCCGTTTTTCCCACAATAGTTACACCCGCCCGTCGAGGACCCCGAGGCAAAACAGAGAGAAGCCTACATGGTTTGTGAACGGTCCCGTATCGGAATGGGACCCTCGATGGGACCCCGCCCGCTTAAACCTGCCTTATTGATCGGGTTTTATGAATAATGACTCCTGACGTCCGGCGGGCCGCGGGTTGGGAACGAGCCTACGCTCCTTCGAATCCCCGCTCCACCTTGCCCCGCTGCACCGACCGGTGGTGGCGACGGCCAAGTGATATCACCATGATATCACCGGTATCAACCGTTTTGCACCCCTCCCCCCACCCCCTTACCCCTCCAACTCTAACATCCCGGCGGGACTTCTTGTCATTTGTCAGTCGACGGGATCGGGAAGACTCGTGCCGTTCACCCATTATCAAAAACGTTTTCGCTATATTTATTTTTTCATTTGATGAAAATTGTCAACGACAAAATTTCGAACACCTAACTAGCTTTGGTTTTAGTTGTTGATGGTTGGGGGTTGGCGATCCTGTCGATGGACAGGAAGAATAGATTTACAGTGTCGTGGTTTGACGTCTTCGAAGTGTATTTTCAAGAGAAAGGATTATATTGATTCAAATCACTTAATTTTTTTCATTGAAAAACTAGTCAAGATAAGATTGCAATTTGAGATTTTTAAAAAATAATTTTACTTAACATTTAAAACAGTTAAAACTGTCGAGGAATTAGTTGAGGTTAGGGACGTCATGACAAGATCAAAACTCCAGCTGTTATTATGGACTTCAGGGCCTTCAGGACTCAAGGACTCCAAGGTGAGCTTCTTAAAATACTACCTCTTTTCATACTTGCAACCCTCCTTCGAGGCTGATTGATGTTTTCCACAATATGAAAGATGAAAACAACTCCACAATCATTGGGGAGTTTTTCTGTCAAATGAAAGCAATGAGACAGCGCTTGATTACCATAGGAATCTAAAGAAAAGGTTTCCCTCTAAACATTAGTAATAACCGATATTCTATCACACAGTGCCACAAGTACGGGACAGTACTTGATTACGATGGCAATCAAATATATGGTTTCTATCTAAACATAAATTGTAACGGATATTCCATCACACTGTGCAATCCAGTGTACAATAAATAGGTGCAGAGATCATATGCAGAATGATTAGGAACCAGTTCACTTCAGTCGCTTCTGATCTCTTCATCGTGCTGCTCATTTCCATGATTCATGTTTACGGACAAGCATTGCAAGCATACCCAAATGCAGTCTCTGTTTCTCCCAAATATTTACAGTGTGGCTAATGAGGACACCAAAGATGTGAGTGCCATTGTTGTGGTCGGTTTGAACTTGCCTGGCTGTGGCAAGCAATGACTAGAAACGTTCTAGTCTCATGGAGCAACCCCACCCCTGCTCGTCCCTACCCCACTCTCGGCGGCCCTGTGCATCATATTCTGTTACCCGAGCACGTGCCGCACGCCCGCTCTATCCCCTGGTCTCACCTGCACGCGGCGTTCAGTGACGCCATTGTAAAGGATAGAAGGGGAAGAGGGAGGAGGAGGAAGAGGGGTGGGGGTGGGTTGAGAATAGGTTCAGTGTCAGGAGGGCGACACGATTTGTAAAGATAGAGCGATAGGGTTTGGGAGATTTAGAGAAGCGACCGCAGGGAAGAACTAAACTACCCCTCTAGCGCAAGGCTGCGGGGCTGCGGGCTCACGCCACACGAGACGCATGATGGCATTCCCTCCGCACCCGCCGATACTCCCGGACGGACCCGTGGCCTGGCGCACGGGGTACCGTCGGGCCGGCCGCACACACCCGCCGCTAGATGGCGCTGGTCTCCGTGAGGGTGCTCCTAGCGCCGCCGCCTGGCGCCGCCGCAGCAGGTGGTTGCAGCGGCGGCCGCGCGACCGACCTCGCCTCTTTAAGTGTCCCTTTAAAGAAGATGCTGCGGCAGGGGACGCACCTCGAGACCAGCGGTGTTTTCACCGTAGATTATATTTACGAAAAAGAAACAAATAAATATCATTGTAAATTTACGAAAGTAAGTTTACGGAGTGCTTGTAATTTTACAATTTTCAAAAAGTAATTTTACTACACACATGGGAAATGATCCTGTAATCCTTACAGGTTTTTCTCACAGTGATTTTACATTGGGCAGGATGGCAATGGAGAGGATTATCGTGTCATTGCTGACGCGAACGTCGAAAAGGATTTAATGTCATGAGTATGATAAAAATAAATCGAACCTTTCTATCCACCCCTCTTGAGTAAAATGTTATCGTTGACAAAGCCATGTATGACACACATTTTGGACGAAAGTCGGCTAGTTGAGTACTTTCGACACCCGTCCTGAACAAGTCAGATTTTTGATTTCACAGTAAATTGAAATTGTAGCTGAGTAGAAGGCCGTTTTCAAGTTATCATATCGCCCCTATAACTCTGTGAAACATCTGTTCTTAAATTTACAATATATTTTGTATTTTTGATTCACAGTAAAATATGTTTTAAATTTATGATAGCTTATTATAGCTCGTAACCAGATTCTAATTCCATACAGAGTGCTTGTAATTTTTAAAATTTCAAATGTAATTTTACAGCGGGGGGGTAAATCTAGTTACAAGTCAGGGGAAAGCCACGAGTTTGTCGTAACTGCATGTTTGAACACTATGAACGCCCACCACGCCGTTTTTCCCACAATAGTTACACCCGCCCGTCGAGGACCCCGAGGCAAAACAGAGAGAAGCCTACATGGTTTGTGAACGGTCCCGTATCGGAATGGGACCCTCGATGGGACCCCGCCCGCTTAAACCTGCCTTATTGATCGGGTTTTATGAATAATGACTCCTGACGTCCGGCGGGCCGCGGGTTGGGAACGAGCCTACGCTCCTTCGAATCCCCGCTCCACCTTGCCCCGCTGCACCGACCGGTGGTGGCGACGGCCAAGTGATATCACCATGATATCACCGGTATCAACCGTTTTGCACCCCTCCCCCCACCCCCTTACCCCTCCAACTCTAACATCCCGGCGGGACTTCTTGTCATTTGTCAGTCGACGGGATCGGGAAGACTCGTGCCGTTCACCCATTATCAAAAACGTTTTCGCTATATTTATTTTTTCATTTGATGAAAATTGTCAACGACAAAATTTCGAACACCTAACTAGCTTTGGTTTTAGTTGTTGATGGTTGGGGGTTGGCGATCCTGTCGATGGACAGGAAGAATAGATTTACAGTGTCGTGGTTTGACGTCTTCGAAGTGTATTTTCAAGAGAAAGGATTATATTGATTCAAATCACTTAATTTTTTTCATTGAAAAACTAGTCAAGATAAGATTGCAATTTGAGATTTTTAAAAAATAATTTTACTTAACATTTAAAACAGTTAAAACTGTCGAGGAATTAGTTGAGGTTAGGGACGTCATGACAAGATCAAAACTCCAGCTGTTATTATGGACTTCAGGGCCTTCAGGACTCAAGGACTCCAAGGTGAGCTTCTTAAAATACTACCTCTTTTCATACTTGCAACCCTCCTTCGAGGCTGATTGATGTTTTCCACAATATGAAAGATGAAAACAACTCCACAATCATTGGGGAGTTTTTCTGTCAAATGAAAGCAATGAGACAGCGCTTGATTACCATAGGAATCTAAAGAAAAGGTTTCCCTCTAAACATTAGTAATAACCGATATTCTATCACACAGTGCCACAAGTACGGGACAGTACTTGATTACGATGGCAATCAAATATATGGTTTCTATCTAAACATAAATTGTAACGGATATTCCATCACACTGTGCAATCCAGTGTACAATAAATAGGTGCAGAGATCATATGCAGAATGATTAGGAACCAGTTCACTTCAGTCGCTTCTGATCTCTTCATCGTGCTGCTCATTTCCATGATTCATGTTTACGGACAAGCATTGCAAGCATACCCAAATGCAGTCTCTGTTTCTCCCAAATATTTACAGTGTGGCTAATGAGGACACCAAAGATGTGAGTGCCATTGTTGTGGTCGGTTTGAACTTGCCTGGCTGTGGCAAGCAATGACTAGAAACGTTCTAGTCTCATGGAGCAACCCCACCCCTGCTCGTCCCTACCCCACTCTCGGCGGCCCTGTGCATCATATTCTGTTACCCGAGCACGTGCCGCACGCCCGCTCTATCCCCTGGTCTCACCTGCACGCGGCGTTCAGTGACGCCATTGTAAAGGATAGAAGGGGAAGAGGGAGGAGGAGGAAGAGGGGTGGGGGTGGGTTGAGAATAGGTTCAGTGTCAGGAGGGCGACACGATTTGTAAAGATAGAGCGATAGGGTTTGGGAGATTTAGAGAAGCGACCGCAGGGAAGAACTAAACTACCCCTCTAGCGCAAGGCTGCGGGGCTGCGGGCTCACGCCACACGAGACGCATGATGGCATTCCCTCCGCACCCGCCGATACTCCCGGACGGACCCGTGGCCTGGCGCACGGGGTACCGTCGGGCCGGCCGCACACACCCGCCGCTAGATGGCGCTGGTCTCCGTGAGGGTGCTCCTAGCGCCGCCGCCTGGCGCCGCCGCAGCAGGTGGTTGCAGCGGCGGCCGCGCGACCGACCTCGCCTCTTTAAGTGTCCCTTTAAAGAAGATGCTGCGGCAGGGGACGCACCTCGAGACCAGCGGTGTTTTCACCGTAGATTATATTTACGAAAAAGAAACAAATAAATATCATTGTAAATTTACGAAAGTAAGTTTACGGAGTGCTTGTAATTTTACAATTTTCAAAAAGTAATTTTACTACACACATGGGAAATGATCCTGTAATCCTTACAGGTTTTTCTCACAGTGATTTTACATTGGGCAGGATGGCAATGGAGAGGATTATCGTGTCATTGCTGACGCGAACGTCGAAAAGGATTTAATGTCATGAGTATGATAAAAATAAATCGAACCTTTCTATCCACCCCTCTTGAGTAAAATGTTATCGTTGACAAAGCCATGTATGACACACATTTTGGACGAAAGTCGGCTAGTTGAGTACTTTCGACACCCGTCCTGAACAAGTCAGATTTTTGATTTCACAGTAAATTGAAATTGTAGCTGAGTAGAAGGCCGTTTTCAAGTTATCATATCGCCCCTATAACTCTGTGAAACATCTGTTCTTAAATTTACAATATATTTTGTATTTTTGATTCACAGTAAAATATGTTTTAAATTTATGATAGCTTATTATAGCTCGTAACCAGATTCTAATTCCATACAGAGTGCTTGTAATTTTTAAAATTTCAAATGTAATTTTACAACATACATCATAAAAAAAAATTCGTAAAAGTTTTTCCAACAGTGAAGGTAAGAGTGCGTCTGCAGGGAACTTCCCTCTCCTACCGAACCAAACTCACCACCAATATCGGGATCATCCAGAAAATGTGTGTCTGTCATTCGCCGTTACGTTCAGCCTCTGCAAGCTCTCATAGCGCCTGATAGGTAGGCAACACCGTGCTTGCAGTGCACGCGTGTGCTGCGGGTCGGCCTACCCTTTGTCGCGCAGGCGGCGAGCTCATTTAATTTGGCGAATGAATTCCAGTAAAACAGACGCACACGTAGAATTTGTCCGATTGAAAGGTGTATTTTTACCCCCTCTTAAATTTCTTTATCTAGCAGCCCTGGGGACCCCTCGAATGCAGCTCAAGAGTCGCGTACCTACTTTTTGCACGCGGTTAGGATCTTCGTCTTGTATGATTGATTTTGCACCCTCTGAATTCTTCACCTACGCCTAACCCGACCCGCGAAGACCTGTGTAGGACAGACGTACTCAGTCACTCCAGTCACTCCGTGCCGAG